AACTTATAGAGATAAAATATGTTACCAAAAAGACAATTAGTTGGGAAATGGTGTTATTTTGTCAACTCTATAATTATATTTACACAACTCAATTAGATCAGTAATTGTATATGGCGCCTGTCCAATGGCAGAATAGTATATATAGATAAGATTTCATTAATTTTTCATTCGATCTTTAATCAGGTAAGAACAATATGTTATTATTGTGTTTCATGCATTTTGAACGAATATGAATGCTACAAGCTATTATATTAGTTAAAGTGGAAACCGGGTAATAAAATACCAAAAAAACATCATTTTCTTCGAAAGAAATATCGAGTCGGTTTAAACAATATTTTATTTCTCTGTTCCATAGGATTTTAATACTCAATTATAAGGGTTTGGTGACAAGACAGGTTTATGTTTATTCATCACTTAGTTCAAAATCTAGAAAATGGTATAAATATATATGCAGTTAAATAATAGGGTGACAAACCCAATCGCTTAGTGGAATCAGGTATAAAAAAATATGTAATAATTAAAAGTTGGAGAAATATGATCAGTATAGCTAACATTTCAAAATTTAGCCACTCACTACAAAGAACTTTATGGCAAAGGTATGACTTTTGAAATGTTTTGTGTCAGAAAGTGTCTCTAGTTTTTTTAATAAAATTTCATGACTATCGACCTTTATATCGTATTTATAAGTAATATTTTATTTTTAGTGAACTCAAGATGAAGTGTATGTTAATATTGGTTGTTATACTTGTGGTCGCTACTTTACCACAAACCGAAGCTGGGTGGAGAAGATTTGTAAGATGGTTGAGAACACCTATTCCTGGTTCTGATTATGGCAAAAAACGTAACGCTGAAGAACGAGGAGTTGTTGAAGAAGTCACTAAAGAGGAATTTGCGGCTACAACTGGGCTGACTGGAGCAGAATTAGATTTATATTTTAACGAATTGGATGAAAATGGTACATTATTTTACTGTCTTCTCTTACTTAATTCACTTTTCCCTTGACAGTGATGCAGGTCGGAAAATGATAGGACTGAACGTTCATGTGATACACTAAAACAAGTCTATGTTTGTAGATTATGTGCACTTGATTTTAATTGGAAAACTCTTATGGGTGTTAACCCTCTCTAATTTGATTCCTTAAAAAAAGCTGATTTGCCAATTTCACCAAAAATAGTGTAATTCGAATTCTGATATATTGTATTTCTGTCTTTTTTAGATAATGGTGTACTAGATGGTGATGAAATAATGGAAGCGTCTATTCTGTATGCAAAATTTTCCGACTAAAAACGGAGAAATTTACGAAGAATCAATTACTCATTTGCTTCCAATTGAAATAAATAATATCAAGGTGTTTCACTTTGGTTTTTTTTTCTATGGGAGCCTTCCATGATATAACCAAAGTAAGTATGTTTAATGTAACAAATATATAAACTTGAAGTAAAAGTCAACCAATAATTAAACATTGATTGATGTTTTTCATATGAAAAAGTTTATTAGCTGCTACCAAAGTATTGCTAAGAAGTTGTTTTTGATATTTTTTTTACAAAATAAGAAGCATTAATATGAATAGTCATTGTTGGAAATTAAAAATTAAAGAAGTCAGACTATTTTGGGTAAAGTCTAGGATATTACTGCAAGTTTTATATCTTCTGTAACAAGTCTCTTGCCAAATAAAGAAAGTCTAACTACTTGCAAAATAGTTTGCTACTTCTCAAGGTAAATGTGTAGTTGATTGGTGGTGCAGCTGAGAGTTAAACCGTTTTGTATATTCCCCAGTGTTTCTAACAGATTTGGCCTAGTGTAAATCTATGAAGAGCGCCCACAATCTATTGATCTGTGGAATGTTGCTCCTGGTATAAACACGTGGTTGCCTAGCAAGATACGCTCACTTTCTTGATTAATTTTCAGTATATCAAGGGTGGCCACCAATCTGTGTCAAATCTTACCAAAAATCTAATTTGTGAAAGATATTGTTGATTGAAACAAAGACACATTATTTAATAAAATTCTGACATGGGCACATGATCTAAAGAAAGTTGATCGAAAAATGGTCAAATTGAATCTTGACTAAGATCTTGACAATATACGACCACATTAAAATGTGGGCGTTTAAAAAAGGTACATTGCAAAAGCAGCTAATTGTAGATTCAAAATATGGCATATTAGTTTATAATTAATTATTAAGTCATTTGCTTCGTCTTTCCTATATTTAATTTTCGGGGAAGGGAGGGTTTGATTCTCCCAAATGTACAGGCCTAGGGTGGAGCAGACACTTTATTTAGAAATTAGGATTAAGGGTCTTGATATTGGGTTTTCTTCTGTTCTTATTCTGATCTGAAATTAGAAAAAATAACTCGCCCGATGGGCGAGAAGTATAGTATCTGTTATGTCTCAATCCAATGGGCCTCCCTAGATTGACGGAATTTGGTAGTTTCATCTTCGGGCAAGTCAATTTCTATACGCTCAATTGGGATTAGGGTGAGATCGTCTATTGAATGGTCGTCGAGGTTGAAATGATTAGAAACAGGCTTGTCTTTCTTTAATTTGATGTTAAGCATTAAAGCGAGTTCGTAAATTATTCTTAGTTTCTCCTACATATTGTTTGGGGCATTTCTTGCATGAAATTAAATATATTACATTCGAATGTTCACATGTTAGATGTTCCTGGATCGGGTACCTTTTATTCGTAGAGTTGCTTACAAAATAATGAGTTTCTGATATAAAGGGACATGTTTTGCATCTACTGGACAAACATGGAGCACTTCTTAAACCTGGAGGTACTTCGGCATAAAGTCTGTTTTTAGCTGCTATCTGTGCTAAG